CCTCAATCCTCCTCGTTTCCCCCGACAGAGGCTCCTCTGCAGACCCTCCACCTGGACGTGTGGGGCCCAGCCCACGTTCGTGGAAAGGGCGGTGAGCAGTAATTTCTGCTGGTTGTCGACGACTGCTCGCGTTACACCACGATCTTCCCCTTGCGCACCAAGGGTGAGGTCCCTGGTGTCCTGATCCCTTGGATCTGAGCAGTTTGTCTCCAGCTCCGCCGGAGGTTCCGGACGGACCTTCCTGTCCTGCGTCTGCACTCTGACAGAGGTGGTGAGTTCACCTCCGACCTCTTGCGGGCCTTCTGTCAGGGGGAGGGCATCGAGCAGTCGTTCACGCTTCCGGGCTCACCACAGCAAAATGGGGTTGTTGAGTGCCACATTGGCTTGGTCATGGAGATCGCTCGTACCTCCTTGATCCATGCAGCGGCTCCCCATTTTCTGTGGCCGTTTGCGGTCCGGTACGCCGCGCATCAGCTCAACCTCTGGCCCCGTGTCTCTTCGCCAGACACCTCACCCACACCGCGTTGGACGGGAGAGGTTGGCAATGCGTCGCGTTTCCGAGTATGGGGTGCTCGTGCCCTTGTCCGCGATACGTCCGCGGACAAGCTCTCCTCCCACACCATTCCCTGTGTCTTCCTTGGCTTTGTCCCTGACGCGCCTGGCTGGCAGTTTTACCACCCCACCTCGCGCTGTGTCTTCCCTCCCCAGGACGTCACCGTTGACGAGTCGTTTCCTTTCTACCGTCTCTTCCCCTACCGCACTGCCCCTCTCCCTCCCTCGCGGCTTTTCCTCGCTCTGGGTCCCCCTTCGGTAGACCCGCTCCCCCCTCAGGGTCCTGCTTCTTCAAGTGTGTCTCAGGTAGACCCGCTCGCCTTGGCTGAGCCGGTCGAGGTTACTTGCGACACCTCTGGCCCAGCTGAGGGGGGTGACGTTGCTGCTGACAATGCGGTGCCCCCCCGCCGCTCACCACACTTGGCGACCCCTCCGGGTTTTCCACCTCGGCTGTCTTCGCCTCCTCTGCAGCCGGTTCCGATTGACTCTGGTGCTGCTGGGGGTGGTGCTGCTCGGGGTGCTGCGTCTGGGGGTGCTGAGCCTGTGCGTGAGGTGCTGGGGGGTGGGAGCCTGGGGGTGCTGAGCCTGCGAGTGCGGAGCCTGGGGGTGCTGAGCCAGAGGGTACTGGGTCCGGGGGTGCAGAGACTGCTGCCGTTTCTCTGGGTCTCCCTCTTTCTGTTGTTGGAGCTACTGGAGCTAGTGGTCGTGGAGACGCTGGGAGTGCTGGTGTTTCTGGTTCTGGAGGTGCTCGTACCGGGTTACTGGAGCTGCCAGGACTGGTGGTAGTGCTGGAGCTGGAGGTGCTAGTTCTGGGGGTGCTGAGTCTCCTTGCGGTCCTCCTAGTGCCGCGTCGCAGCGGCCACCTCTCTCGCGACAGCAGCTACGCGAGTGGCTTGCTTTGCGCACCCGCCGTCGGAGTCGCGCTGCTAGAGGTACTGGGGCTGGAGACCCTGGAGCTGGAGGTGCCGGTTCTGGGGGTGCTGCGACTGGAGGTACTGGGGCTGGAGGCCCTGGAGCTAGTGCTGTCGACTCTGGAGCTGGAGACCCTAGTGCTAGCGGTGCCGGTTCTGGGGGTACTGCTGCTGGAGGTACTGGAGCTGGAGGCGCTGGAGCTGGAGGTGCCGGTTCTGGGGGTGCTGCTGCTGGAGGTACTGGGGCCGGAGAGCCTGGAGCTGGAAATGCCGGTTCTGGGGGTGCTGCGACTGGAGGTACTGAGGCGGGAGACCCTAGAGGTGGAGGTTCCGGAGCTGCTGGAGGCGCTGGAGCTGGAGGTTCTGGAGTTGCCGGAGGCGCTGGAGCTAGCGGTTCTGGAGCTGCTGTAGGCGCTGGAGCTGGGGGTTCTAGAGCTGCTGGAGGCGCTGGAGCTGGCGGTTCTGGAGCTGCTGGAATCGCTGGAGCGGCGGTTCAGGAGCTGCTGGAGGCGCTGGAGCTGCTGGAGGTTCTAGAGCTGCTGGAGGCGCTGGCGCTACTGGTGCTGGTGACACTGCACAACCGCGACATTTTTTCGCTCCGCCGTTACTGTCGTCTCTGCCACCGCCTGACTCCGTGCTTCGCCAGGTTCTTAGCCTCCCGTCTTCTACTGGCCTCCCGTTACAGCCAGGCTCCCCACTGCCCGCTCCTTCTCCTTACACTGAGCAGACTGACTCGCTTACAGAGCGTCGTGAGCCTGCGTCTCGTCCTGCCTCGCCTGTTCGCGCGCGTTGCACTGGTTGTTGTGTTCCTCATGACGTCCGCCTCCTGTCCCTGGCACGCACGCTATGGCAGTTCGTCCTTCCTCTGTTCCACAGCGTGTTCCCCTGCCGTCTCCTCCTGCGTCTTCTCTGCCTGACGTTCCGGACCCTAAGTCTGACCTGGTTCGTGCTGCTCACCCTACTGTCACGCGTCTGCTCGCCACTGTTGTCACTGACCTGTCGTTTGAGTCTGCTGCTGCGTCTGCCCTAGTCTATGAGCTTCTTGACATTGCTGCTGCCTGTCGTCTAGACTACGCTGCTAGTCTTGTTGCTGAGTCTGAGTCTATCTGTCCTCCGTCCTTCGGGGGTGAGTGTGCTCTTGGCACGGACGTCCTTGAGGACAGGCACGAGGACTTTGAGTGTCTTGCAACCGCTGCGCCTCATCTCGTGGCCATGCTGCTTGCACCTGAGGGAGACCTGGATGCACTGGACATCCCGACCCAGAGGCGATTACGGGTCCCTACTCCTCTCAGTGGCACACAGCCATGGACGTAGAGATGGCATCCTGGAAGTCCACAGGCACTTACGTCGATGAGGTTCCCCCTCCTGGGGCGAACATCGTCGATGGCGTGTTGATTTTCAAGGTGAAGCAACCGCCGGGTTCTCCTCCTGTCTTCAAGGCTCGTTATGTTGCACGAGGCTTCAGTCAGCGACAGGGAGTTGACTTCTTCCAGACCTTCTCCCCCACCCCGAAAATGACCACTCTTCGAGTGCTACTGGACGTTGCCACTCAGCGTGACTACAAGCTTCACACTCTTGACTTCAGCACAACCTTCTTACAGGGCAGCCTGCACAAGGAGATCTGGCTGCAACGCCCACCTGGCTTCACTCGGTCGTTTCCTCCTGGTACCCAGTGGAGCCTCCGGCGGCCAGTCTACGGTCTCCGCCAGGCGCCTCGTGAGTGGCACGACACAGTGAGGACGACACTTGCGGCTCTTGGGTTTGCTCCTTTGACACCTGACCCGTCGCTGTTTCTGCGCACCGACACTTTGCTGCCGCCGTTCTACATCCTCGTGTACGTCGACGACTTGGTCTTTGCTACTGCTGACACTGAGGCACTCGCCCTTGTGAAGTCGGAGCTGCAGAAGAGACATACGTGCACAGACCTGGGTGAGCTGCGCAGCTACCTTGGCTTGCAGATCACCCGGGATAGAGCACGGCGCACCATCACCCTGACTCAGTCACACATGGTGCAGCAGGTCCTTCAGCACTTCGGCTTCACTTGGTCCTCGCCACAGTCCACTCCTATGGCTACCGGTCACTCGCTCTCAGCTCTGCCTTCGAATGAGTCCGTAGAGCCGAGTGGCCCATATCCAGAGCTTGTGGGCTGCCTCATGTACCTGATGACCTGAACTCGACCTGACCTTGCCTACCCTCTTAGCATCCTGCATCTTGTGGACGTTGCGCTTGGGAGACACGGGCGAGAGCACTGGGAGGCTGCTAAGAGGGTGTTGCGCTACTTGTGCAATATATCGGGCATAGGGGCTCGTGCTTGGAGGACGGGGTGATGTTGTCCTCACTGGACACTCAGACGCGTCTTGGGTTGACGACCTGGTTACGCAGCGGTCGTCACAGGGTTACACTTTCAGCCTTGGCTGCGGCTCTGTTTCTTGGCGGTCTACCCGCTCGTCTTCTGTTCTCAGCTCTAGTTGTGAGGCTGAGATCTACGCCACAGCCATGGCTGCACAGGAGTTACGCTGGCTCACCTACTTGCTGACCGACTTGGGAGAGAGGCCTCGTTCTCCTCCAGTTCTGTACGTCGACAACAAGGCCGCCATTGCCTTGTATGAGGAGCACAGACAGGAGCACAGAACGAAGCACATCGCTCTGTGTTACTTCCTGGCTCGAGAGTTGCAGCAGCGTGGTCAGCTTCGTCTTGCTCACGTGGTGGGCCAAAACCAATTTTGTGTCCTGCTATATACCTGCATGCTTGTTCCTGCTAGGTAATGATCACTGTACTGTTGTTGTTGCATATATACCTCTGCATGTGAACTGACCTTGTGGCCCTTTGCTTGTGCTCGGAGTGTGTGGTTGTGATCCACACTGAGCTTGCTTTGCTCTTCTTGACTGGTCTTGTGACCCTTTGTTCTCCCCCACTTTGCCTATGGGGGTGTGTCAAACTATATCTGTGCTAGTTCTGTGTAGGCTATAGTGGGGTAGCCCATATGGGGTACAACCCAATGTTAGGGTTAGTACTTGTACCCACAATTCATTTAATGCAATCTTCCTGCTTGCTATCTTCACTGTTTTACAGTGCCCTGATATTTTGGGCCTTGCCGAAAAGGGTCGTCGCTTTGAATACCAAGTGATACAAGTGCAATTGATTGAGCAAACAAAAAGATTGCACTATTCAAGCAGAACAGTGTATCGAGCGAAGGAATGAGCGAATGTGAAACAGCGAACTAGCATAGTAACGGTAATGAGAGAAATGGGGGTTGCTCGACGGGCCAGGCGCCGAGGTTGGGAATTGTCGAGGCGGAGGTCCGGAGCGCGGGTTACCAACCAGCCGAGCTGTGAGATTGGGTCGCGATGTGAACAGTGGCAGGAATAGTGGTGGAGGCGAGTGTCGCGAGAGAGTAATGGTTTGCAGTTGGGGTACTGTGGCGGGAACAGCCGTGTACGCAGTAAGCAGGGGCACGAAGTAAGGAAAAAGAATTGTCTTTACAAATTTCCACTTCACTGTCCATATCCTACCTCGACGCTCTCCCTCCCGCACAGCTAAGAGGTTCCTGTGACATCGAAGCGAGCAGCAAGCGCAAGCTCCTCGGATCGCTGCACCACAAAATGCAGCTTGGCCACCACCTCCAGCAGCAGTGCCGCCACCTTGACGAGCGACAGCGCTGCGATGCGCTCCACCGTGCGGTCCCACGCACCACCCATCGACGCCTGCCGCTGCAGCAGCTCCTGCCGCCACTCCGCCACCGACGGCTTCTTCCGCCCCATGCCGCCCACACCCCCCATGCCGCCCACACCCCCCATGCCGCCCACACCCCCCATGCCGCCCACACCCCCCATGCCGCCCACACTCCCACTGCCGCCTGCCGGTGCACCTGCGTCGCCCTGCTGTCCGGCACCGGCTGGTCCCCATGTGGCAGCATAGCCGGCCAGCCCCTCTGCCAGCGACATCTCCGACGGCGTCAGCGTGCCCATCGCTCCCATCGCTCCCATCGCTCCCATCGCTCCCATTCCTGCTGCTGCGCCTGCTGCTGCCGTCGCTGCGGTGTGAGGTGGTGCATGCGAGTCGGGTGCCGTGGTGGTGGGGGAGGGCGAGAGGCCGTGGGGGTGGCGGGGGGAGAGGCAGAGAGGACTGCCGGGACGGGAGAGCCTGGATGTCGGGAGGATAGGGGGGAAGTGGAAGGAGAAGGGTTTTCCTCGTGCAGGTTGTCACAACAACTGCGTTGCCTAGCTTCTCCCGTCTGCACTCCCCTCATGCCCGCACCCCCCTCATGCCCGCACTCCCCTCATGCCCGCACTCCCCTCATGCCCGCACTCCCCTCATGCCCGCACCCCCTCATGCCCGCACTCCCCTCATGCCCGCACTCCCCTCATGCCCGCACTCCCCTCATGCCCGCACCCCCCTCATGCCCGCACTCCCCTCATGCCCGCACTCCCCTCATGCCCGCACCCCCCCTCATGCCCGCACCCCCCTCATGCCCGCACTCCCCTCATGCCCGCACTCCCCTCATGCCCGTACCCCCTCATGCCCGCACTCCCCTCATGCCCGCACTCCCCTCATGCCCGCACCCCCCTCATGCCTGCACCCCCCTCATGCCCGCACTCCCCTCATGCCCGCACCCCCCTCATGCCCGCACCCCCCTCATGCCCGCACCCCCCTCATGCCCGCACTCCCCTCATGCCCGCACTCCCCTCATGCCCGCACCCCCCTCATGCCCGCACCCCCTCGTGCCCGCACTCCCCTCATGCCCGCACCCCCCTCATGCCCGCACTCCCCTCATGCCCGCACCCCCCTCATGCCCGCACCCCCCTCATGCCCGCACTCCCCTCATGCCCGCACCCCCCTCATGCCCGCACCCCCCTCATGCCCGCACTCCCCTCATGCCCGCACTCCCCTCATGCCCGCACCCCCCTCATGCCCGCACTCCCCTCATGCCCGCACCCCCCTCATGCCCGCACCCCCCTCATGCCCGCACTCCCCTCATGCCCGCACCCCCTCATGCCCGCACTCCCCTCATGCCCGCACCCCCCTCATGCCCGCACCCCCCTCATGCCCGCACTCCCCTCATGCCCGCACCCCCCTCATGCCCGCACCCCCCTCATGCCCGCACTCCCCTCATGCCCGCACTCCCCTCATGCCCGCACTCCCCTCATGCCCGCACCCCCCTCATGCCCGCACTCCCCTCATGCCCGCACTCCCCTCATGCCCGCACTCCCCTCATGCCCGCACCCCCCTCATGCCCGCCCGCACTCCCCTCATGCCCGCACTCCCCTCATGCCCGCACCCCCCCTCATGCCCGCACCCCCCTCATGCCCGCACTCCCCTCATGCCCGCACTCCCCTCATGCCCGTACCCCCTCATGCCCGCACTCCCCTCATGCCCGCACTCCCCTCATGCCCGCACCCCCCTCATGCCCGCACCCCCCTCATGCCCGCACTCCCCTCATGCCCGCACCCCCCTCATGCCCGCACCCCCCTCATGCCCACACCCCCCTCATGCCCGCACTCCCCTCATGCCCGCACTCCCCTCATGCCCGCACCCCCCTCATGCCCGCACCCCCCTCATGCCCGCACTCCCCTCATGCCCGCACCCCCCTCATGCCCGCACTCCCCTCATGCCCGCACCCCCCTCATGCCCGCACCCCCCTCATGCCCGCACTCCCCTCATGCCCGCATCCCCCTCATGCCCGCACCCCCCTCATGCCCGCACTCCCCTCATGCCCGCACTCCCCTCATGCCCGCACCCCCCTCATGCCCGCACCCCCCTCATGCCCGCACTCCGCTCATGCCCGCACCCCCCTCATGCCCGCACCCCCCTCATGCCCGCACTCCCCTCATGCCCGCACCCCCCTCATGCCCGCACTCCCCTCATGCCCGCACTCCCCTCATGCCCGCACCCCCCTCATGCCCGCACTCCCCTCATGCCCGCACCCCCCTCATGCCCGCACCCCCCTCATGCCCGCACTCCCCTCATGCCCGCACCCCCCTCATGCCCGCACCCCCCTCATGCCCGCACTCCCCTCATGCCCGCACTCCCCTCATGCCCGCACCCCCCTCATGCCCGCACCCCCCTCATGCCCGCACTCCCCTCATGCCCGCACCCCCCTCATGCCCGCACCCCCCTCATGCCCGCACTCCCCTCATGCCCGCACCCCCCTCATGCCCGCACTCCCCTCATGCCCGCACTCCCCTCATGCCCGCACCCCCCTCATGCCCGCACCCCCCTCATGCCCGCACCCCCCTCATGCCCGCACCCCCCTCATGCCCGCACTCCCCTCATGCCCGCACCCCCCTCATGCCCGCACCCCCCTCATGCCCGCACTCCCCTCATGCCCGCACCCCCCTCATGCCCGCACCCCCCTCATGCCCGCACTCCCCTCATGCCCGCACTCCCCTCATGCCCGCACCCCCCTCATGCCCGCACCCCCCTCATGCCCGCACTCTCCTCATGCCCGCACCCCCCTCATGCCCGCACTCCCCTCATGCCCGCACCCCCCTCATGCCCGCACCCCCCTCATGCCCGCACTCCCCTCATGCCCGCACTCCCCTCATGCCCGCACCCCCCTCATGCCCGCACTCCCCTCATGCCCGCACCCCCCTCATGCCCGCACTCCCCTCATGCCCGCACTCCCCTCATGCCCGCACTCCCCTCATGCCCGCACTCCCCTCATGCCCTCATGCCCGCACTCCCCTCATGCCCTCATGCCCGCACTCCCCTCATGCCCGAACGCCTCACCTTTTTGCTCTGGGCGAAGCAGATTCCTCCAGCCGTTTCTGCCCTCTCCCCTCCTCGCCCTGCTCGCCCTCCTCGCCCTCGCCCTCCTCGCCACCCATGTCAATGCAGCTCTTCACCACCCCCTCCCCATCCTCAACCCCCTCGCCCCCTTCGTCCCCCCCATGCACCACCAGTCTGTCAAACGCCTCCCCGTCCCCCCCAGCACCCCCACCCCCCCCAACGCTCCCTCCGCCGCCCTCGGAGAGGCGGGAGAGGGCGAGGGGGCGGTGGGCGAGGGAGGGCGGAGGCAGCATGAGGATGAGGCTGATGTGCTTCGACAGCCGGTGCTGCAGCTTCATCGCAGCTTCCTCCGCGCGGAACAGCGAGTCGGGCGGGCCTGCCCACGTGAATGAGCGCACGGACTGTGCCAGATAGGCCAGCGTGCTGCGATCGTGGTTGGGGGGGGGGAGGAGGAGGAGTGGGCAGAGATGGGGAGAGACGAGGAGGGCAGGGAGAGGAGCGAAGGCTTGCGAAACAAGTGGAGGCAGAGAGAAGTGCGGAAAGGAGGAAAGAAGTCGCCCAGCACTCAGTCTGCTGCATGCCTCGCCCCACCTGCTGCACTCGTGGGCAATGGCTGTCATCTCCTGCCCCACCAGGCGTCGCAGCACGAGCGGTGCCTGGATCTCCGCCCGCAGGCTGGAGTCCAGCGCGATGACGTCATACACGAGGCAGCGCAGCGTGTCGCTGACGTCATCATAGAGCTGCCATGGGTAGCCCGCGAAGAAGCGCCCGTGTGGCGGCTCAAAGAGCAGTGCCGCCAGCTGAGGAGAGGTGGGGGCAGGTGGGTAGGTGAAGGGGAAAGGGGAAGGTGAATTGGAGTGTGGCCAGTTGGGGGGAGGGGAGGGGGGGAGGAGGCAGGGAGGTTGGGAGGGTGTAGATGGTATGGCATGTGAGTGGACTGGAGTGAAGAGACCAAGCTGCCATGAGGTGACTAAACGGGAATGATGGCTCAAGCCATGGGAAGGAGGAGGGGGAGACGAAAGGGGAGAGGTTGGAGGAAGGGTAAGGGGGGAGGTTAGGGTTTGGGGGAACAAGTGTGAAAGCAAGGGTGGAGGAGGCAGAAAACGGGAGCAAGGGTGGAAAGCAGAAGCACAAGCAGTGTGGGGTAGAGCAAGCAGCACATCAGGAAGCAGCACATGAAGAAGCAGCACATGAAGAAGCAGCACATGAAGAAGCAGCACGCACGTGTTTATCCACCTCAGCGTCGCTCATGACAATGGCATGGTACATCTCCCGCAGCTTCTCCCCTCCACTGCCGTCCCCCTCGCCTCCCTGTGCGCCCGCCAGCCCTGCCAGCCCCGTGCGCATGCTCCACAGCGTGGGCACGTGCCGCCACACCGTGCCCCGCTCGTACTCCTCCACACACCTGCCAACCGCACCGTGGCGCCCCAGCAGAGAAAATCATTCTTGTCTCACTCACACTCGCACCGAGTGAGAGCAGCACCTTAAGTACAGAGACGTATAAAGTGTGAAGGGCCTCTGCTGGATGGTCATGGGCCGACCACCCTTGCGCCACAATGTGGTGCCTTGTGCACGGTCTATCGTTAGAACATTGTTGTAGATAGCTTGTCAGGTTGTAGACCGTGCAGCCTCCCGCACCATTCTCCAAGAAGATTCTGCCTCGCCTTGAATCGATATGGGACTGAAGCCACATTCGTAGAACAAAGGATCCATTTTTTGGTACCAGACACAATGAGTTCAGAGATTATTTTTCCCATCGGCTCACATGTGTATCCCCACACCCACACCCACTTACGTAATCCCACATCCACCTGGTGAGCAGAGTGGCAACAGAGTCGAAGTTCTGAAGGGGCAGAGCGTGCAGGGTATCACTTCACACCCCCACCTGCATCACTTCACACACACCCCACCTGTGTCGCCCCACACTATTTGAGTTGCTTCACATGCACCTGGTGAGCAGCGTGGCGGCGGAGTCGAAGTTCTTGGAGAGCAGCGCGTGCAGGGTGTCACCGGCATAGGCGGGGAAGAGGGCGAGGTTGATGAGCGCGGCGATGAGGAAGCCCAGCACGATCATGGAGAAGCGCGCCAATGGCAGGCGCAGCTTCTCGGGCTTGCGGTACGTGGAGAGCAGCAGGATGTGGAAGGTGAGCATCATTATCGTCACTGCGTACGTCCACCTGTGGGGGGGGAGAGGGGGGTATAGGGGGTGGTGCATGGGTGGAAAGTGGAGGGGTGATGCAGTGGACGTGTGATGAGATGGAGAGAGGGAGGATGTGGAAGATGAGCTGTGTGTCTCCAACATGGGGAGGGGGAGGGCAGTGAAACGACACACACATGCCTACGTCCTCCTGTGGGGGGAAAAAGAGGAAGAGGAAGGGGAATGGGGGGAGGTAGGGACGGGGAGGGCGAGGAGAGGGGATGGTGCATGGAGCGGCAGGATGTGGAAGGTGAGCATGATGGGTGGGGTGGGGATAGGGGATGCATGGGTGGGAAGGGTGGGAAGTGGCTGGGTGCTAAGCTGGGGATAAGGCTGCCTGCCCCTTCTTTTTCGGCCGCGCTCCCTCCACCCCCTCTCCATCCCCCTCCCCAAGCCCCCATTGCCCATCACCTGACCCCCTCCACCACACACAGGGGCTGGTTTTCTTCACCTCCCACACCCACATCTTCCCCGCCAGCCTGCCGCCCCACTTTCCCCCCTCTTCCCCTCCTCTCCCCTGCTTTTCCCCCATTGTCCCACCTTACCCTCCCTCCCTTTCCACCCCTCCCCCCCCCGAGCCCCCCACACCCCCCCAACCCCACCCCACAAGAAGCACCTGTCTTTGAAGGGCGGGCGGTTGCGGTAGTAGATGGGGAGGGCGGCGCCGAGGAAGACGAGCAGCAGCAGCACGGCCACGTGCAGCCCGCCCACCAGCGCCACCACGTGCGTCACCGCCAGCGCTGCTGCCCCCGCCAGTAGCGTGCCCAGCACCCGGTTCACACCCTTGCTGGTGGCCGTGGTGGGAGGAGGGAGAGGGGGGAGGAGGAGGAGGAGGGGAGAGATGAACGAGACGTGTGACTCCATGAATAGCAGCCGAGCCCAGATGCGTGTGCAGCAGACGGCCAACTCAACCTTGGTGAAGCTCCAACTGTACTTACTGAACCCAGCAATTTGGGTGGGGTCAATCTCATCACATCCAGGTTCAAACAAAGCAGCCCACCCAGACGCCTGATTGGCTGCCAACAAACAAGGTGATATCCTTTCCTATCATTCACTGTTGACTCCTCATATTCCTCTTGATAAAGTACATCTTTCCCTTTCAGCCTGCAGCCTTTCCCACAAGACTCCTCCCAGCAGCAGGCTCACCCAAGCGAGAGGCCGATGTTGGCTTCGAAGACGAGGTCGACAGTAACAACGGCCCACACGCCGATGGAGGCGAGCGAGGGCAGGCGGTCGTCCACGTCCACCACGCACAGCGCCGCCGTCAGCGCCGCCGCACACCCGCCCTTGAGCGCCAGCACCACCAGCTTGGGGTTCGCCCTCGCGTCCTCCAGCTGCCGGGCGAGGAGAGCCGCGGTGGAGGTGGGCAGGCGGAGGAGGGAGGTGATGAAGAGGAGCACGATGGTGGCTGCGAGGGGTGGGGTGGGGTGGGGTGGGATTGGTTGGGGTGGGATGGGAAGGGGACGGATGGGTAGAAGAAAGAGGGCATCGCGTTGCTACCAGCAGCGTGGGATGTAGTTGGGCTGAGCGTGAAGCAGTTGGTGGGGGATGAGGGGGATGAGGGGGATGAGTGGGATGAAAGGGGATGGCTTGGGAGGAAAGGGAGGAGTGGGAGAGAGGTGCAGAGCAGGGGCAGTGATGAATGGAGTGTGGACTGATACGAGGAGGCATCCACTCCATTGCACGCATGTTCATATCAAACCATGCCACACACCATGCCACGTCGCATATCATGCCACACACCATGCGGCCGTCGACTCTTTTCAGTCAACTCGGCAGCTTCCCTCAACCACAATGCCTTGCAAAGCTCAATGCCGCGTTGCAACCATGGCACCTTCATTTCATACATGGTTGTCCATGCTGCCAAATCCTCCCACCCCATGTCATCTGCCCATCCATGCCTTGCCGTGCTGTGCCACGCCACACTGTGCCACGCCCCACCCCATCTCACCAACGCCATGCCAAACAGCGAACATCCACCCCACCATGCCGCCCGCTGCGCCTCTCGCCTCCTCCCCGCCCGCCCTCCCCCTCGCCCCTTCAGCGCCCCCCTCGCCCCACTCGTCCGCCCTCATGCTGTGCGGCCTCGCGTCATCCCACGCCAGCCCGGTGGAGTGCGATGAGTCAGTGCTGAGAGCGGTGCTGTGCTGCCGGCCGTAGTGGTACGACGATGTCGACCGCAGCAGCGCCTGCCACCGCCGCTCGCGCGCGCTACTGCTCTCCGCCACACCCCCCAACTCCCCCACCTCGCCCGCCGCCCGCCTGCTGCCCTCCGCACTCGCGCTCGTCTGCTCGCCGCCCACCTCACTGGCGCCCACGCCCCCCACAGCGCCCCCGTCTGTGCGCGCGCGCCCCTGTCTGCTGCTGCTGCGCCTGCTGCCCCTAAGTTCCCCTCCCGCCCCGTCGCGGGCCTCCTCGGGAACCGCTCCATCGCCCTCTCTCCCCACACTCCCAACGCCCGCTGCAGCCGCGTCGCCATGATTGTTGCCATGCTCGTTACCGTTCTCGCCATCGCCATCGCCATCACTGTCGCTGTCGTCGCTCGCAATCCGCCACAGCTTCTTTCGCACAGGGCCTTCCGCCGTTCCCGACGTTCCCTCGCCAGTCTCCCTGCCTTCCGCCGCTTCACTCCCCACGCCCGCGCCGGATCCGCCATCCCCGCCCGCATTCGCCCTTGAGACCTCCACCGCCTGCGCAATTTCTCCCCCCACCGCTCCTTCTCCCGCTCCCCCTCCCCCTTCTCCCTCCCCCGCCCCTGCAACCGGTTCCGCCAGCGCCGCCAGCCCCAAGCCAGAGCCGCGTTGTTCCCCCCTGGCTGCGGCGATCAGCGCCGAAGCGGGAGCGAGAGGCGCGCTGGCGGCGCCCGCGACGTCGGCCACACCCGCCTGCACGAAGGGCGTGGAGTAGACGGCGCGCGGCGGCACGACGGCCACCGTGACGTGCTCCGCCGACGGCGACGCGGCGCTGCGCCCCGCCGCCGCGGGCAGCGCGGCGATTGCGTGGGACGCGGAGGGCGGCGAGGACGGCGCGTTGGGAAGCAGCGGCGCGGCGAGATCGTCGTCATGGCGGCGCTGCGGCATGGCGGAATGGCGGGGAGTGACACGATACACCCGCGTTCTAGACTTCTGAATTTGTTTTCCAGATCCGTTGAATTGTCATTGCAAATCAAAAACCATACCAGGACTTGCAGTGACTGGAACACTCGCTCGCTGGCTGGCTGTTCCCTTGGAACATTGGGATTGTTTTGCCACGCCCAATCAACTTGGGGAGTCGAGATTCGGTTACCACTGGGACCCAGTTCCCATCCAATCAGCAAGGAGGAGCAGAATTGCATGGGCTGGCGAACAGCGTCTTTGTCGTCCCCGTGTTACCCTTTGGCGATGTCGGAAGAACACCCCTATGAATCGCGAACACCATGAAAGCTTGGCCCGTTGGGGGGGAATCTCGCCTACCCTCTCGCACTCCCTCCCACCACGCGTCGGTCGCTCTTCCTCCAGACATACCGAATCCGCAAATCTCCGTTCGCGAACCGTTTGCAGTGTGAGAGCTTTTCGCCCATGTTACCTTGTGGCGAAGTCGTTGAACGAACTCACAATTGCAGTTTCGTTACCACGATAAACAGAACTCGCGAACCTTATCCCTTTGCCCTCTGCATCAAGCCCTGCCTGACCCACCTCCACTTTAGTCTCAACGCTCCACGTCGCATTCACACCCGCTGTGCTTCGCTTCCGCCCTCTGTTCACGCGCTCTGCGGCGCAGTACCGTTGCGACTTCCTACGAGGTATGCCGTAGTAACAGCACTCGTTATCCGCCATCGCCCCATCGCGTGCGCCTTGCACCCATGCGCGCCCATCGATCCTCTCACCCTTCCTTCCTCCGCCCACTCTGCCTTGGCTTTCCGTACCGCCCGCGCGTGTAGCCTCTCCTCCCACGACGCTCTGCCGTGTTCCCACTCGTCTCCGCCTGCCTTCTCGTCTCACCATTACCCTCTTGTGTCTCACATGCCCCGCATGCCCCGCATGCCCCACATGCCCCGCGCGCCGCACATGCCCCCCATGCCTCGCATGCCCCGCGTGCCGCACATGCCGCGCTCCGAGTCGCCCGAAGCTGTGTCTCGCAGGTTCCAGCGTGTCCGTCGCCGCATCACGCCGCACGAGCCTCCTGCGCACACGGAGGGCGAGGGGCGCCACAGGAGCACGTGGCCGCGAGTGAGTGCCGACGTGCAAGGGTGCGCGCGGACGTGCAAGGGTGCGCGCGGACGTGCAAGGGTGCGCGCGGACGTGCAAGGGTGCGGCCGGGCGGGGTTGGAGCGTGAGGCGGCTGCGGGCCAGCAGCGCTGCACATTCTGAGCAGCCTTAAGAGCGTGTGGGCAGGGAAGAAGCAGCGCGGCACACAAGCGCGTGGGAGGGACAGGGCAGCAGAGCAGCGGGCATGGCGGAGGCGGCGGACTACGTGGTGCCGGCCATCGCCATCACGGCCGCCACCGCCGTCACCTTCATTGCCGTCAGCTTCAACGAGCTGCGCGAGGTGCGCTCTGCGGTGTGATGCAGTGCGGTGGGACGCGGTGTGGAAGGATGCGGTGAGGGGGGATGCGGTGAGATGGGTGCAGTGGGTGCGATGGGGTGAGGGTTGTGCTGCCTTGGCGGGCCTGCCATACCTGCTGTACTGTCTGTACTGTCTGTGTGGTTCTGCCTCTCCATGCGCTCACCTCTGCACTCCCCCCTCTGCCCCAACCCCTGTGCCCAACCCCTGTGCCCAACCCCTGTGCCCCAACCCCCGCCGTCCCGGTGGTGGCGAGTCAGAAGTCAGCAGTGCAGCAGGAGTTGAAGCAGCAGGCCATGCTTCTTGAGGAGCAGGAGGGCGTGGTGCTGCGCTCCAGCCTCTCCTCCAAGGAGAAGCGCCGCGCCAGGCAGGGCAAGAAGAAGGGCTCCTGATCTGCAGGCTCTCAGTGAGTGTGGTGTGTGAGCGTGGGAGAGTTCTGAGTAAGGGAGGTCGTTTCATTGGAAATGATTTCTTCATTAGTTATTATACAGCACTATAGGCTGATGAGAACTCCAGTTTTTTCCTGCTGCTGCCGTTGCCGTTGCAATGCATGGTTTCTTCGAACCACTTCTCCTGCCCTCAAGCCCCTCACCACCACCACGAGGCCTGTCACCATCACCATCCCCATCCCCATCCCCATCACCATCACCATCCCCATCCCCATCCCCATCACCATCACCATCACCATCACCATCCCCATCCCCATTACCATCACTATCCCCACCCCCATCCCCATCCCCATCACCATCACCATCCCCATCACCATCACCATCACTATCCCCACCCCCATCACCATCACCATCATCATCACCATCCCCATCCCCATCCCCATCACCATCACCATCCCCATCCCCATCCCCATCACCATCACCATCACCATCCCCATCCCCATCACCATCACTATACCCACCCCCATCCCCATCACCATCACCATCACCATCCCCATCCCCATCCCCATCGCCATCACCATCCCCATCCCCATCCCCATCCCCATCACCATCACTATCACCATCACCATCCCCATCCCCATCCCCATCACCATCACCATCCCCATCCCCATCACCATCACTATCACCGTCACCGTCACCGTCACCGTCACCGTCACCGTCACCAACCCCCAGCTGTGTGCCTTGCATCTGATTGCAGTGCACTGCAGTGAAGCGTGGAGAAGACTAGATTTACTCCGTTACATCTCCTTAGAAACCTCGTCCACCTTGCCACTGTGATGGTGATTGTTTTCCCCGCCTGCATGGTCTCGTCTCAACGTGCCCTCCAATGCATCTCTGTCGACGTGCACAAGTCCCATCTCCTCTTCAACTCGTTTTGGCCCATCCAGGTGGTGTTACAAACTGGTAGGCCAGTTGCTAAGTTGTGCACTTGTGTCTTCGAGATAGCAATGACTGGAGTTGCATGTAAAGGTGGAATGGAAGTAGGCGTTCAGATTTGTTCTGGCCATGACTGATCCACCAGCGCCGTCATTAGTACAGAACGCTGAAAAATCAGTGTTACCACAAGTTAAAACCCTGATGAAATGCCTAAGTGTAACATTGAGAAAGCTTGCTTCTGTCGCAATTGGCATCGTTCTCATTACAATGGGTGGAAGCGATCGGCGATGAGCGCGTACGCCTCTTCGAAGAGCTCGAGAGCGCCAGCGGTGTCGCCGTGGCGTATCTTGTGCTCCGAGTGCTTCAGGTACGCGCGCAGGTCCTCCAGAAATTCGGCTTGCTCGCGTACCCCGGCGTGGTGAAAAGAAGAAGCCGGAATGGTGGGGTTGGTGGATGGGAGTGGAGGAAGATGTTCGGCAGGTGCAATAAAATTGTTGTGTGCATTAGCCTCACCCGCTTCGTCTTCAGAGTCGCTGTTGTCGTTGACGACGTTGGGCGCCGGAGCTGCAGCGTGTTCCCTTTCGGCACGAGGGACTTCGGGCACGCGGGGGTGACGTGCCAAATCGTTTCTTGCGTTTGAACTGGTGTTACAAACTGGTAGGCCAGTTGCTAAGTTGTGCACTTGTGTCTTCGAGATAGCAATGACTGGAGTTGCATGTAAAGGTGGAATGGAAGTAGGCGTTCAGAATTGTTCTGGCCATGACTGATCCACCAGCTCCGTCATTAGTACAGAACGCTGAAAAATCAGTGTTACCACAAGTTAAAACCCTGATGAAATGCCTAAGTGTAACATTTTGAAATCGTAAACTTGTGACAGGAACTTGTGCAGTCAGCACTTTCTGAAGGAGTAAACAATGAGCAGTACAAAATGGTAAAGAGGTAAGGAAGGAGGAGGGAAGAGGAGGTGGGGGGCTTGCATGAGCGCCCGCTGTACCCGCTTACGAACCTCCTTTTACAAAGGGGGACGTGAGAGAGAAAAGGGAGAGGAGGTGGGCTAGGTGGGCATGAGCGCGCACGCATGCTCGTAGCGATACCCCCCTCGTTAATGTTGGAAACAGTGAAACTTAAGCGCTTCAGCCGTGTCGAAACATCGCACCAGAAGTGAAGAAAACAATACCGAAGCAAGCGCGAGTCAACCCTCGGAGGTTGAGAGGTTGCTGGAGGTTACGCGAAAGTCAAAGGTCAAGCGACCTTTGACCTGACAAGTGCAGCGCGACAGTTAAGGACACACAACTGACTCGTTACAGAGCAGTTGCCCGAGTCGTACTGTATCGAACCGCAACAGCAAACAGTAAAGTAGTTATAACCGTACCTCTTTATATTCCTTGTACTATTATATAATCTTGTATCTCTTTGATATAATCAATCTACCGTAATCTCCCGTATATAGGACCCGGGGGTCTTATCAAATATGTTGTAAAAATCATTTAGGTGAACAATACCAAACGGCATTTTTATTAAGACCCATGAACATCATAAAATTTCCAAAAGCAAGGTTAAATCTAACTCGTTACAAAAACCCCCCAAATTCACAAACACGATTCAGTTTCGCAATGCCGCGTATTGGCATCTTGACTGTGTGTTGGCCCAGATTCGGCCGCACGTATGCAAATTTGGGTGTGACGGCGTGAATTCCAAGCGCCGCTGGCACGGCGATGCCATCCTCTACCTGCCAGCACCTGACTGCGGCCCGTTGTGGCATGAGTCTGGACAGGAGAGAAGATTCCTCCGTCCAGAACGGGCGATGCCTGCCCTGTTGGCTAGGCCACCTGATAGAGACGTGAGCGACTAGGGCACCAGGTCGCTCACGTCCCTGATACCCCCGCTTCCAGAGGGGGGTAGTCTCAGAGAGTGGGGCTCATTGTGGCGTTTTGGCATAGCGTTCATTCTTGGAGCTCCCTCCCTTGTCTTAAGAGATGTTAGTTTCTTGCCGTGCTCAGCTAGAGCCTGCTTACGCAGGCAACTTTCAACATGTCTGCCCTCGAGATGTTGCAGGGGATGAGGGATAGGAGCGCTGCGAGGGCGATTGCTTCGTTAGCGAACGCGCCACCAGCCCCACCGGCACCTCCTACTCCTCCGAGTCCTCCTACGCCACCTACGCCACCTACGCCGCCTTCCCCGCCAGCTCCACCGTCACCTCCTGCTCCACCTGCACCTGCTGTACATGTGCCTCCTTTCCCTTACCCGTTCGAACCGGTGTATGAAGACGACGTGTTTCCTACGCCACCCGCTTCTGTCGACGAGTCTCTCGCCGCTGACACCAACGCCGACGACGACGAGGACTCTAACGAGTCTATTCCCGCCTTTCCTGTGCCTGAGTTCCCCCCTGACGTCCTTCACGATGAAGAACCGTCAGTAATCCCCCGTGATTCTATGAACCCCGACGCCCGCAACAGGGTTACGCAGCATCGTCGGACATCGCGGACAATGGCCGAGAAGGCAGAGTGGCTCAGGCGCATGCGCGAGGAGCACCTGACAGTGCGCGCGACGGCACGGATGGCCGGCGTTGAACCCATCAGCGTGCGCCGGTGGAAGAAAGCGGAGGAGCAGATTGCATCTGCTGCTGGCTGCCGTCGTCGTCTCGTTGGTGGCGGGAGGCAAGCCAAGTACCCCGACATGGAGTTGTCGGTGTACAAGCAATTCCTCTCCTACCGTGCCCGTGGCCTGGCCGTGCCGATAAAGCTGCTGCAAACCTGGAGTCGTTCGTCGATGAAGAGGCGCCACCCAGACGTTGACTGGCGAGCGTCGCCTCGGTGGACGCAGCGGTTTCGCGCACGTTGGGGACTCACCATCCGAGTGAAGACCAAGATTGGGCAACGCTTAACCAAGGGTGAGTTAATGCCTGGTTGTAGTGGATGTTTCCTGTGCCCAAATCATACGTCTCACGTCCTCATTTGCTGCTCTGTCAGTGCAGATTGCAAGCCTAAGTGTGAGAGCTTTTGGCGCTTCTGCCGCAAGCAAGTTATCCGTCACGGCATCGACCCCTGGAACATGGTCAATGCTGACCAGACGCCAGTGTTTCTGGAGATGCCGTATGAGCGCACGCTGCACCACCGTGGTGAACGCACAATCCAGATTCGTAGCGCCGGCTACAAGAAACAGCGCATGACCGTGATGCTTGGAGTCACGGGAGATGGACGGAAGTTGAAGCCGATGGTGATTTTCAAGAGGAAGACCCTCCCGAACGTGCGCGTCCCTCCAGGTAATGTTTCTACGTTTGATGTCGCCTCTCAATCGTGAAAAATGACTAATCTAGTCTCTGCCATGTTGCAGGGATGCTCATCCGAGCTCAAGAGCGCGGCTGGATGGATTCCAGCCTTGTCATGGACTGGGTGCAGAATGTTCTTCTTCCTCACACCCGTCCCCCCCCCGGAGTGATACGGTCCAGGACCCTGCTGGTCCTGGACTCGTATCGCGACCACCTGACCAAGGCAGTCCTCTCGACGCTGAGGTGGCAGCGCGTGGTTCCTGCCATCATCCGTGGCGGATGCACTCCCCTGCTGCAGCCCCTCGATGTCGCGATTAACCGTGCCTTCAAGGCACGAGTGCGCGAGCTGTACGAGTGGTTTTCGACCATCGGCATCGACTCTTTCACACCTGCAGGTAAGAAACATGTTTGCACCTTCCGCTACTGCTGTTGCTTGTTCGATGAACACTTTTCTGACTGTGTGGTTATGATTGTATTGCAGGAAATCTGAGGAAGCCCCATGTTGATGCTATCCTTGAGTGGATAGCAGATGCATGGGCGGCGGTCCCTGAAGACACCATCACCCGCTCGTTCAAGACATGCGGCATCAGCAACACGCCTGACGGGCGCGAGGACCACCTGATCCTCGCGCACATGCGCGATGCCGCGCAGGTGGAAGTGCACGACGACGTGCATGCTGCTGGCGATGTCGAGGAGTGGATCAATCCACTCTACGCATCTGGTGCCCAGGAGGCTGAGGAGGCTGGCGCTGAGGATGACGAGGAGGAGGACGAGTAGGGTGCCACGAGAGGCAGCGGAA